AGTTATCTCCCCTCCTCTCAGATGCTAGTGTCGCATCCTCGCGACTCGCTTTCCATTTCTGCATCACTTTTTTCCACATGATTCACATGAAAAATTATCCCAAAATCAATTTTTCCAGTAGAATAATTCATGAACTAAAATTTACACAAACATTGTAAAACTCCAATTAAGTGAACTATTGAACAATATTACTCCATTAGGGTCTTTTAATGCTGTAGAACTCTCTGAGACATGAAGATATGTAGATGGGAAGACACAGATTCGAGGATTTGCTGGCAGTGGCCGACAGAATCCCTGGACAATACATGGATGGCCATGCAGTTAACATGTGTCACTTATTACAGAGCAGCTTTGGATAATGAGCTATTACAGACAAAAACACATCCATCTCACCAATAGCAATACACAAGTTACATATGGTGTCCATTTTTACTTGTCTTGATACAAATCCCTACAACACTCCCTCATCTAACATATCATCCCTCTCCCTCTCTCTATCCTCTCTCTCTCCCCTTCTCTCTCTCTCTCTCCCAGATATCAATATTTTTCACCATTTATATTAATTGTACAGTTATACATGCAGTACTAATTCATTTAAATTACTCTGCATTTAACATCTTTAATTTTTAATTCATTTAATTCTATTTTGTATCTTGATTTAACTTGGTCATCTTGAGAGCTGAAGTGTGGGATAGAGAGTGCAGGGGAACACCATATTTTATGCCTCAACTTCATAAATCATTAATAATTTAGGAAGCTAATTTAGGTCATTTTTTAAAAAAATATTTCCTTTAATTAATTTATAATACATTTAACAATTCTAAAGAAAAAAATTAAAGTCATTGGAGGTCAGAACTCAATAATGGTCCTCTGCTGCAAGTGTCGACAAGAATGTAAGCCCCCCCCCCCCCCCCCCCCAAAAAAAAAATCCCTTCAATCCACCAATAAACAAGTAATGGATGGAGATTCCATAATCTCACATTACTCAGTAATTGGCTTAAAAAGCCAGTAGCTTTAATTATAGACAGCTATCAAATGTTACCACACAATCCTAGCCTGGACAAATCTCCAGGAAATTGCTAGTTTTCAGGGAAGCTTTAATTTCCTGGCGCAGTTTTAGATAATCCATCTTCTTCTTTTGTGTCAGTTGGTTCATCAAATTTCATATAGATCATATTATTGAGGCGAGAACAGACGAAGTTTATTATTTTGACAGCTCCAGTCATCTATAATAACTTAATTCTACATTGTGCAGACTTCATCAATATTTTTTCCTGCAATATCAATTTTGGAGCTTACATAATGCATTTTTTTTTTCAATATAATAATGAAGTGATGGATTAGGTATAAAAATCTTACACATGACAGCAAAATGTGCATCAAATTAACATCAAGTGAAAAGTTTCATATGAAATTCATTTTCAACAATTTCATTTATGAAACTCATAGGGAGGAATTTGGATGATAATTATCTGTGATTTTGTTCTCTTTCTAAATTGATTTTTTGCTTAAAATATCACATGAAATTCATTCTAAGCATAATTTGTTGCATAAGATCACAAGCATTTTTTAGCATGAATCTGCACCTCAAAAATAATATAATGCTTTTTTTTGCATTATGCATCTCAGGCCATGAGATTCCCACTACATTTTACAGGTCAGTAGGAAGTAATTTCAGTTTAAGGGATGATTAGTGAATGGCTGTCCTATTTATTGGCGTTTAAGCTTTTTGGTGCCCAAGGAAGCCCACCAACCATTAATGTTGCTCTAACTCAGCATTGAGATTGTCTGTAGCCTGAGGATAATGGTGTGATAAGAAGATTCTAGATCCTGACTACTTTACTCCAATACAATCCTTAGCCATCTCTGACCCTCTGACACAATCCTTAGCCATCTCTGACCCTCTGATACAATCTTTAGCCATCTCTGACCTTCTGATACAATCCTTAGCTTCTAGCTTCTATGACCCTCTGACACAACCCTTAGCCATCTCTGACCCTCTGATACAATCCTTAGCCATATCTGACCCTCTCAATAAGTCTGAAACAATCCTTAGCCATCTCTGACCCTCTCATACAATCCTTAGCTTCTATGACCCTCTGACACAATCCTTAGCCAGCTCTGACCCTCTCAATGAGTCTGAAACAATCCTTAGCCATCTCTGACCCTCTGATACAATCCTTAGCTTCTATGACCCTTTGACACAATCCTTAGTCATCTCTGACCCTCTCAATGTGTCTGAAACAATCCTTAGCCATCTCTGACCCTCTGATACAATCCTTAGTTTCTATGTCCCTCTGATACAATCCTTAGCCATCTCTGACCCTCTGACACAATCCATAGCCATCTCTGACCCTCTGACACAATCCTTAGCCTCTATGACCCTTCGATACAATCCTTAGCCATCTCTGACCCTCTGACACAATCCTTAGCCATATCTGACCCTCTGATACAATCCTTAGCTTCTATGACCCTCTGACACAATCCATACCTTCTATGACCCTCTGACACAATCCTTAGCCATATCTGACCCTCTGATACAATCCTTAGCTTCTATGACCCTCTGACACAATCCTTACCTTCTATGACCCTCTGACACAAACCTTAGCCATCTCTGACCCTCTGACACAATCCTTAGCCATCTCTGAACCTCTGAAACAATCCTTAAACATCTCTGACCCTCTGACACAATCCTTAGCCAACTCTGACCCTCTGACCCAATCCTTAGCCATCTCTGACCCTCTGACATAATCCTTAGCCATCTCTGACCCTTTGATACAATCCTTAGCCATCTCTGACCCTCTGACACAATCCTTAGCCAACTCTGACCCTCTGACCCAATCCTTAGCCATCTCTGACCCTCTGACATAATCCTTAGCCATCTCTGACCCTCTGACAAAATCCTTAGCCATCTCTGACCCTCTGATACAATCCTTAGCTTCTATGACCCTCTGACACAATCCTTAGCTTCTATGACCCTCTGACACATCCTTAGCCATCTCTGACCCTCTCAATGAGTCTGACACAATCCTTAGCCATCTCTGATCCTCTCAGTGAGTCTGACACAATCCTTAGACATCTCTGACCCCCTGACACAATCCTTAGCCATCTCTGACCCCGACACAATCCTTAGCCTGTAACCTCTGACCCTCTGACACAATCCTTAACCATCTCTGACCCTCTGATATAATCCTTAGACATCTCTGACCCTCTGATACAATCCTTAGCCATCTCTGACCCTCTGACACAATCCTTAGCCATCTCTGACCCTCTGACACAATCCTTAGCCATCTCTGACCCTCTGATACAATCCTTAGCCATCTCTGACCCTTTGATACAATCCTTAGCCATCTCTGACCCTCTGACACAATCCTTAGCTATATCTGACCCTCTGATACAATCCTTACCTTCTATGACCCTCTGACACAATCCTTACCTTCTATGACCCTCTGACACAAACCTTAGCCATATCTGACCCTCTGATACAATCCTTAGCTTCTATGACCCTCTCATTGAGTCTGACACAATCCTTAGCCATCTTTGACTGTATCATCACTGACTGATCTTGCTAGAATGTGCATGTCCACATGCATTGAGTTAATACAGGTCAATTACTTCTTCTCCCACATGACTACATAATCAGAATGTCTGTGTCACTCAAGAATGCATTTCTCTTCAAATTACACATGTTTTCAATAAAGGCCCCCCAGTTAGATTTGATTACTTTGACCTTAAGAGTTCTTCAATATGGTAAATGCCACACAGTAACAAAGAGTCTTAATTTGATATTTTAATGGTAATTTGCTGCAACTTCAATGCTAAATGTAACATGAGCTGTGAATACAATCGAAATGCAACAGTCATGCAGGGTCAGATCCAGCAATTTTTGAAAGGGGGTGGGGGTGGGGGGGGGGGTTGTTCCAGGGTGCTGCCCCGACCCCTTGCTCATACATAGAATCACACCACAGGCATTTCTATTTATTGATTAGAATATCCCCATACTATAGGGAGAAAAAATTCTCTTATGCATACTCCCTTTCAAGACTTTTTAAAGTTAATTACTACAGAAGATGGTCCAAAAACGGTATACCCAAAGTTCGCCGGAATCTTCCAATGATATCACATTAAAACCTTGCATGATACTTATCTTATATATAGTGAATTATGAAGAAGATTTTCTTTCATTCACTTATAATGATCAGAAATTACTTTTTGACTGCCTAATTTGTAAGCTTCCGAGTGTGGGTGGCCATGGTACTGAAGGTACAGAGGAAAACAAATAAGTGAGACTCACTTGATCTAGCAAGTACTATAGATCACTAAATTTTCGCAACACTTTTTTTTTTTGCAAAAAAAGGAATTTGGTATTAATAAAGGAGACAAAATTTTTACGAAGACTGGTTATTGCTGTATATAATCCATACTAATAAAAATATACATGAAAATAAACTCTTTGTAAACAGACTGTCTTGCATAATAATGTGAAAATAAAGTGTGATTATTCAAGCTTCAATATCAGATAAAAATATAGGTATTTTCATAATCTTAAGTGCCTAAACAAAACTCATGACATATCAGCATTATTGTACTCTAAAAAGGACTCAATACAGGCCCTTCAAGACCAACTTAAACCAGTTAAATGTCAGAGGCACTTTTGTATTTGTTTGAAGCCCCCTACAACCTATAATTTACCAGTTTAGAGTCTGAGGTACTTTGGTACATGTTTGAGGCCCCTTACAACCAGCGCCTTAATTACCAGTTTGGTGTCTGATGTACTTTTAAATATGTTTGAGGCTCCCTACAACCAGTGTCTTACCAGTTCAATGTCTGCGGTACTTTTATATACTTTTGAGGTCCCCTACAACCTATGACTTACCAGTTTGGTGTCTGAGGTATTTTTGTATATGTTTGAGGACTCTTACAACAGGTGATTTTATTACCAGTTTGGTGTCTGAGGTACTTTTGTATATGTTTGAGGCTCCCTACAACTTTTGACTTACCAGTTTGGAGTCTGAGGTACTTTTGAGGTTCTTGAAAGCTTTCTTCCACATGCTTTTAATGGTGGCTGAGGACTTCTTGCTGTCCTGTTCCAGGTTCTCCATGGATCCATTCTGTTTGGGGGACAACACTTCTATCTACAATGTATGAAAGCAAGTAAGAAATTCTTCAGTTGCTTAAAACATTTTAAAATTAAATTATGTTCTATTGAAAGAATTTCTTCTGCTTATTTGTTATTTACTTATTCATTATCAGTAATTAGGTCAAATTGAACAATAAAAAGAGTAATAATAAATACTAAAAATTTTTAATGATGTTCACTAAAACTTTACAGCTTTAAATAATTGATTGTCTCCATAATCTCATGCAATAGTGTTGAAAAATGTAATATTTCTAAAGATTCTATAAACAGTAGAGATATGTCAAGAATATCAAAGTGCTCGACACGACTATTGACTAATGCCCTGTTCACACTGAGAGTTTTAATTTGTATTAAATGTAAGTTACTGCGAATTAAATTTGAACAGCGTTCACACGTACAATTTAATGCGAATTAGTTTAATTCGAATTAGTTTACTGTGCATTAAATTACTTTGCATTAGCTACATGTGAACGCTATGCGAAGCTAATTCGAATTAAATTCTGACGCATGTGTAATGGCAGAATTAAATTACATGCCACATGTCGGTGGTCAGATATAGGTACTTGTATTATTTTTGAGTGAAAAACTATAGGAAAATTATGTTAATCACTAAAATGTGTACAGACACTATGACACTATGTCAAATGGATCTGCTCTGCATAAGATGACATGATTGCAAATGATGTCATAAAAGCCTTACTGAATAGCCCTACTATAGAAATAAAATTTTAATTCACATTAGTTTACTTCACATCAGTTGTCGTGTGAACGCAAGTTAATTCGCAATAGTTTAATTCACATTAGTTTACTTCACATCAGTTGTCGTGTGAACGCAAGTTAATTCGCAATAGTTTAATTCACATTAGTTTACTTCACATCAGTTGTCTTGTGAACGCAAGTTAATTCGCAATAGTTTAATTCGCATTAGTTTACTTCTCATCAATTTACTGTGAAATAAACTCTCCTTGTGAACAGGGCATAAATATTTTTTACTCTGTTATCAATAGTATTTCTAAAGTTATCGCAAGTTTTTTCTATTTTTTTTTTATAAAACTGTTTACCAGTTACAGGTCCATAAATTAGGCAAAATTACACACTTAAATTGTGTCAAGCTATAAATTACTAACATGTATTAGAAACTGGTCGGGAGTAGAAATGACAAGCTGTAGTAATTGATAAACTGTACCACTTTTTAATTGAGATACAGGTAGTACAGGTATTTCTACTAATTAACTACTTGTATTGAGAAATACGTTGTATGTGACGGAAGCTTGATATAAATATTGCAAGCAATACAAGCAATCTAAAAAGGACATGAAGATATAAGAACAATTATTTTAATGAGTACTCGATTATCCCTGGACTAAAGCCCCCAATTATTCAACTAGGCTATCTGGGTGAAATTGACATTTCTAATTAGCACATATATTACTATAGCTATAGCAGGAGACAGAGAGAAGGGGGGGGGGAGTTATCATACAATGGAGCAATGCCAGCTGTAAATGAAGAGGTGCTCATCAGAAAATTTTATTGTCTTTAAGCTTAAAATATTTATATAGACCCAAGATCTGATCTATAGCTGTATATAACTGCAGCCTCCTCACTCCTCAGCCCATGAGAGGATGTTTGATGTTGTGGGAGCTATCACTGAAAAGGGGTCATGTGTATTAAAAAAATGTGTTCAGGAAATTACAGATGATGTCTCCGCATATTAATTAATGGTGCACAGTAAAAAAAAAATCTTCATGTATCATAGGATCTGTATTGAGTCTATAGTTTAAATCTTATTTTGCTAAGAGCTTCATAATGTTCCTTCCATACAGGATCATAGCAAAACATAATAGCAGAGGAATGAGCTTCGAATTCCTTTGACATACGGAAGTAATTTTCTAGAAGTCATATCAATCCACTCACTGGCATAATTCCTACATTGTACCACCTTATAGCACCTGTATCTGCCATAGTTCTAAATCAATCCACTCACTGCCAGAACACCTATGTTGTACCACCTTATAGCACCTGTACCCGATATAGTTCTAAATCAATCCACTCACTGCCAGAACGCCTATATTGTACCACCTTATAGCACCTGTACCCCATATAGTTCTAAATCAATCCACTCACTGCCATAATGCCTACATTGTACCACCTTATAGCACCTGTACCCGACATAGTTCTATATCAGTCCACTCAATGACATAACTCCTACATTGTACCATCTTATAGCACCTGTACATGACATAGTTCTAAATCAATCCACTCACTGACATAACTCCTACATTGTACCACCTTATAGCACCTGTACCTGACATAGTTCTAAATCAATCCACTCAATGACATAACTCCTATACTGTACCACCTTATAGCACCTGTACCCGACATAGTTCTTCATTAAGGGAGTGTTCAGTAGTGGTATCCTGTCATTAGGGGCAGTAACAATACATCAGCAGAGGCCAAACTCCATAAACTGCCATCATCATCAGACATCATACATACAAGTAGGTAATGTGCATGATATCAAAAATTTAAATTATACTACATACACTCCAATCAAAATAAAATATGCATTTATTTAACAAGCAATTCCACTTGTATTATTTGTCTGAGAGACAATACCAGGTGAACTTTTCTTTCCTTTCATGTAGTCCCCTTCCCCAACATCACCCACCTCACCCTTCTTTCTCTCTGTTTAAGCTATAAATATATTTTGTTTGCAGTATCTCATCAAACTGACTTACTTCTCCTAGTAAACAAATTCACTCCACACCTTATTATTATATTTTCATTTGAGCCTAACAGAAGCTTGTAGTCTATCTTGATAACTGCCTTTATCTGAGACAATGAAGATCATTTTCCCCTCTTCATTTTCCAAGGGAGGCAATCTGCCAGAATGACCAGCAGCTAATGATGCAGGAACAGGTAGGATAAGAATGATGCCCTATAGGATAAGTGTCCTAACATTGATTGATAGACCCCAATATAGAGACAGGTAGGATAAGAATGATGCCCTATAGGATAAGTGTCCGAACATTGATTGATAGACCCCAATATAGAGACAGGTAGGATAAGAATGATGCCCTATAGGATAACTGTCCTTACATTGATTGATAGACCCCAATATAGATACTAATATCTCAATCCTTCAGTCACTGTGCTGACTGACCCTGATATCTCTATAACAGTCTTATAGAACTACTCCCTACATCTCAGTCCTTCAGTGACTGAGCTGACTGATAAATCTTGATAAAAGGACTACTATCTCAAAGTTTCATGGGTTACCCGCGTGGCACAGTGGTTAGAGCATTTGCTCTCAAGTTGCAGAGTAAGGTGTTGATCCTTACATCGCAGGTTCAAATCCCACTATAGGATGTGGAGACCCGTCTTTTGGATGAAACCATGTAAACCGAGGTCCTGTGTTGCAGCAGGTGCTGACACAAAAAAAAATCCCTTACTGCTCAATGGCTCTGAGTGCCGAGTATAGGTCTAAATTTGCAGCCCTCCGCCAGGAAGTGGTGGAGTCTTCATATGAGTGAAAAATTCTCGAGAGGGACATTAAACAACAAACAAACAAAAATTCTCACCCAATTGCTCCCTACATCTCTGTCCATCAGCCATGATGCAGAGCTGATTAACTGTGCATTCTTATTGAATAGGTACTACATTTTCTTACATCAGCATGTTTTTGTATTTGGATACAAGTTCTTCTAAGTTTTCTCAGAAGAAGCCAAAGTTTATTTACTCTGCAAACAAGATGACATTTAACAGTCTGCCAAAATTAATAATTTACCTACAGTAGAGTTTTAATATCTATTTGGTGGGTGTGACCTATAGCTGATAATATTTTGCTTCAACTGGAAAATCAAGAGGCCCATAGACCAAAATGCTTACCTGTATCACATCAGTTTGGATAAAAAACTGATCACTTGAATCTGGAAAAGCACATCTGTTTGAACATCAAAGGCATTTGTGCCAAACAAAAAAAGGTTAATTGGTTGAAGGACCAGGGAACATATACCAAAAGTTGGTATAATGCCCTCTGCCTTTGAATCATAATGATTAAAAGTGATACTTCTATTGCCAATAAGCTGATAAGGCAAAAAATAATTCTTCAGAAGAAAATGCCAAATATTTTATCTCTCTGTAAAGACTTGACATGTATTGTTCCATTATGAAAACTTCTTTAAATCTTCATGAATGAACAGAGCCCACTGGTAGCTACCAAAGGTTTCTCTATCTAAGAATCGCAGATTCCAAAGAATGAACAGAAAATTTAAGGCAGATCAAAACCTAATTATATCAGGAAACTCCCTTGAATTTTTCTTCTCAACTTTGCTAAAATAAAGAGGGGAGGGGTTCAAATTTTATCTATCTTTTTTGAATATGTCACATACAATTTCTTACTCTTACAGCTCCACCTAATGGTTATGACATATCTGCCATCTTCATATTTTTTTTTTCTCAAAAGAGGAGTTTGCTTTCAATCCATTTTTTTGGTAATTATTTAGAATTTCAGATATGTAAATGAACCCTGTACAAGAACATGCCAGAATATTTCCCATGAAGACAGGCAGGTACATTAACTTAACAACCTGTTCTCTCTACATTTCAGTTGATTGATTACCATCAAAAAATTCCCTAATATACAATATAGCGTAATGAACGTAACACCATATGGTTATAATATCTAGGGTTGAAAAAAAGTTTGTAGGGCCGTTCCAAGATTAATTACTAAGAAATGCCAACAGTGCTGTTTTCCCTTGGCAGAAATAAAAAGTATATGTACTCAGAAAAAAAACTGCCTTTTTTTTTAAAGCAGCAGAACTGATGAGCTTTGGGCGTATGGTAAAATGATCAGACAATTTATCGGCCATTCTATAAAACCACTGCCGTGTGTGGAATGGGAAAACTCACAAAAAACAATAATCTCCTCTCTATTTAGATACAATGGGCAAAAAATACAGCATCAGAGGTGGATTTTCTAAATCAGCAATATCAAACCTGTCATTTTAATGATTGGTAAATGTTTTTACTCTGGCTATAAATTTTTGTGGCCATTTATTCCAAATAGCTTCTTTCTTTAGCTTAAGAACACACATTTATCAGATCATATTTATAAAATACAATAAAGTGCATGTTCCTTGCACACACAAAAAATCTACTTCAGAATCTCATAGTATTGATCTAAAATAAATGAAAATCTTATATAAAACGCATTAATTCGTTTCTACAGCTAAGTACAGTGATCTCTATAACCTTATACAGCAGATTAACTGTAGCTAGTTCTAGGATTTATTAAAATTGACTTTTAAACCTGAGGATCAATATCAGATGAATTACCTTTTCTGCATGCTCTTACCTGTGCTCGAATAGCTGCTAACTGCAAGTTTGCCAAACGAATTTCATTCCTCTTGCAACACATATCCCCTTGAGTTTCATACACTTTTGAGTACAGATGATTAGCTAAATTTCTGCCAAAAATTAAACAAAACAAATTGTTAGAAAATGAAATTTCTCACCTGATTATCATTGTCAAGGTCTTTTAAATTTCCTGTACTTCTATTAGAGGCTTGTGACAAATGTCTGTTTGAGTTTGGGGCCTTCATACTCTGGCTTCTTTTAACACTTGACTTAAAACTCTCACTTTTACGCGATTTAGTTTTGCTACTCTCGGTTCTGTGAATTTTTTCAGTTTTGCTTCGACCGTAATCCTTTGGTCGTGTGGACATTTCCGTCACAATCCCACTATCCTTGCTCTCTTGTTTATGCATTTGACGACGGACTTTCAAATCTTCTTCACCACTGTTTTGACGGGAGACGGACCCCTGAGTGTGGAGTAAGCTCCCTTTGTAAGTCTCCCCATTCCTTGGTTCTGCCACTCTCTGTCGTATTGACACAGAGTTTGATAGCTCACTCTCCGTGCCTGACATCACAATATCCGTAACACAATTATCAATAAAGGTATATTTCACTGTCTAAAGTTGCTGCCTACACAAAAAAGTACCAAACGGTATTGAAAAAATAACACATCTTAAAATGTTCTTCCTGTTTGTAACTTATTTAAAAAGTCACTCAATAAATGATCTGTTTATGTCCTCTGCATTTTGTGCATGGTTAAACTGGGTAATTAACACAGCCTCCAGAGAAAAGAAATGAAATCAACGTATTTCTGGCAAATGAGCAAGCTCTTCAATTAATGAGTACAAAAAAACCTGCGGAGGGTTGTCAAAATCTATCCATTACAAAGCTGTGATGTCATATGGCATCTCTGGCCTCTCACATATAATATTTGCTGTAGAAAACCATAGTTTCATAACAAAATCTCCTATAAGAAAAAAAATTTGACTTTTTTTTTTTTTTTGCAAATCAGATATTAAACCAAAGAACAAAATGACTGAAGTATGCTCTGTTTGTTTTGCCAAGCATCAAACTGAAGTGTAATGAGTTTCCAGTATAAGCACTTGCTGCCTATACAATCCTGATGTATTGTTGCTGGGCCAGTGAGAAGCATACACAACGCAAGAAACAGCAGCAGAAAATCTGTAAGCAGCTCTTTAAAGATCTACACCGATTAAAAAAGTATGCAAATCTCCTAATTATGTGTAAAGTACCTCCAGACTCCAATTAGTCATCAACAAAAAATGTTTTGTTCCAAGCTTTTTTTTTTCCTCAATAAATGTGGTATGTTGGCATCAGTTTTTAATGAGCTGGGACTTAATATTACGTCTTATGGCATATCAATGCTCCAACTAAAACTCACATTCAAATTGAAAACTGAATGCCTTCACATTGCAAACTGCGCCGGTCACAGATTCGTATGAATTGCTAATGATGCAACATGTAAAAGCATCTACTAAAATGTAAAAGCATCTACTAAATGGAATTCAAAAACAAAACTGTCCTGTATCTAGTAAAATCACAATTCATCATGTGAATCACTGACATTTAAAAAAAGATTAATTGGTAATCTCACTCAGCAGAGCTAGTCTTCTAACTTAATAGCAAATATAGCTAATGTGTTTGTCCATTATAAAAAGTATCCTGACTAGGCATTGATTCCATAATCAAATTCCCCTTGAGAAATCCCTATCATAACTAATAGACACATCTCTAAATCTGTTAAAATCCTTCAGAGTAGATTCCACTAAAAATGGTCCACTGAGTGAACTCCAAAAAATTGTCATTATAAGAATCTAATTAAATCTCCTTTGCAAACCACACATGAACTTCTAGTAAAATACAAGTTAATCCTGTCATCCCAATATTGTGCACTACATGAAATGATGATGGCAATGTTTCAGTGTATGGAGTAATGTTCTATGGTATGAGGAAGAGAATTAATTGACCAGACAGGGAGAATCTGTCTTATGTAGAAACTCGGCAGGGAGCCGTGTTTTATCTGACCATCACCCTTCCCTAATCTCCCTCCTGATCAGTACTGATCAGTACCTCTCACCAGTTCTGTGCTGTACTGACTGTTGATCCCTGCTGAGACTGATCAGACTTCAAGTCCTTTAAATCTTTAATTACAACCGATTTTACTGATATATTCTATGCATGAGGAACTTTTTTTTATGGCAGATAAGCGTGCTCTGTGAAATCAGTGGCTAAGAGTTCTGTTGCCATGTGAATGGTAAACATCTGGAAGGGCCCAAGATTTATGTCCTGTGAAATTCTATCTGACAGAAATAAATATTTAACTGGGGGCTATCCGATCAATAACAGAGGGAAATATTTTACTTTTCATGCGCTGAAGAAGAGATTTGGGCTATTTGATGTTGAATCTTCAATCAACTTATAGACATGAGGAAAAAAAAATAAAACCAGCAGATGTTATCAATAATCAAAGACTAATTATGTGAACAACATGCTTCATTAATTAACATTTATGTGAAGCATCTCATTTTTCTAGGAAACCTTTATTTTCTATAAAGTAAATGAGGGGGTGTTGGCAAACTTTTATGTCAGAGAGGAGGGGGGATTATCTTAGTCAGCTGAGGGGGCAGAAATTAATTTATTTCTGTACGTAATAATGAATTAATTAAAACTTCAATTAATAAAATAATAACATAATTAAACATCCATACTTTTAACTCATTTCAGCCAAAATAATTCCTTAGAACTTAAAGTCTGGAATTTTTACTACCGTGTACTCGCGTATAAGTCTGTCCGCCTATAAGCTGGTTGTATTTTTGGGGGTTATTTTGGAGGAATTTGCCACTGACTCGCTTATAAGTTGGTACAACTTTCTGCCAGAATTGGTTGACAATTTCAAATCAATACTCTGATATTTTAATCTGGTTTTAATCAATATTTTTAAAAAATGATATTGATATCTGATTTTAAATCATTAAAAAAAAGTAACGCACACTTAAGATAAATATAAAATTATTAAAATTTTTACATACTTGTACTTTATGCATAATCTTAGAATACATAAATGATTACAATATATAAAGACTCTGTTCAACGGTAATCGGCAGGAATGTTTATAAAATACTACCTTTCGTCGTCAGAAAAATACCAATATTTCTATGACTCGCCTAAAGTCAGACCCAGAGTTTTGGACCAAAATTTAACTCCCAAAAAACCGACTTATAGGCGAGCATATACGGTACTAAATGGTATTTAATATACAATGAGAATCGGTGTTTGCTTCAAGATTCTCACAGAAGGTTTCTATCTATTGAATTTTGACAGAATCTTTAAATAATTCATCAAATCACTCCACCATTGGACTAGTCAGAAGAAACATTTGGTGGTGTAAAGTGTTCCTTAATTAGCCTGGTTTTCCTCAGATAAATCAATTCTTCAGCCCTCTCTGGGACCCTTGTAGGATGACCATCAGAGTATAATTTGACTTCTCCATTTTGATCAGGTCATATTCTTTAATGTCATTGTTAACTTCAACAAGGGGAGGAGAGGTTCCCTGGAGACGACTTCTAAGAACATAATTGAGGTCACTGTCCTATAGTACAATGTGATTTTGTACTTTATTGAACTTATGGTACTTAATTTACAGTACCTTTCTGAATCAGTAGAGTTTGTGTGTATTTATTCATTTAAATACAGTAACTCTATTTCAGCAACCAAAAAGTGTACTTTTTTATGTTGTTATACGATGTTTGATTCTTGTATTATATCTAAAAATGAACTTTGAAAACTGGTCAAACAATAGACTGCTAACCATAAAGCTGAAATATCCAAGGAGACTCAGATGAAACTATACCTCTACTGGTAGAAAAAAAAACAAAGTGGAGCATGCTTTTACGGTCTTCTCTAACTCCACATCACAAAGTGGAGCATGCCTTTACAGTCTTCTTTAACTCCACCACAAAGTGGAGCATGCCTTTACAGTCTTCTCTAACTCCACACCACAAAGTAGAGCATGCCTTTACAGTCTTCTCTTACTCCACACCACAATATGAAGCATGCCTTTACAGTCTTTTCTTACTCCACACCACAAAGTGGAGCATGCCTTTACAGTCTTCTCTGAATCCACACCACAAAGTAGAGCATGCCTTTACAGTCTTCTCTAACTCCACCACAAAATGGAGCATGTCTTTACAGTCTTCTTTGACTCCATACCACAAAGTGAAGCATGCTTTTACAGTCTTCTCTGACTCCACATCACAAAGTGGAGCATGCCTTTATGGTCTTCTCTAACTCTACCACAAAAAGGAGCATGCCTTTACAGTCTTTTATAACTCCACACCACAAAGTGGAGCATGCCTTTAAAGTCTTCTCTGAATCCACTCCACAAAGTGGAGCATGCCTTTAAAGTCTTCTCTTACTCCACATCACAAAGTGGAGCATGTCTTTACAGTCTTCTTAACTCCACACCATAAAATGGAATATGATTTTACAGTCTTTGCCAATCCAAAACTACAAAATGGAGGGTGCATTTACAGTATGCCTTCATGGTCTATCCTCTCTCTAAACCAAAATGAGAAGCAAGCAATCATATTCATCCCCTATATCCTTTCTCCAAATCAAAATGTAAAGCATCCATTAATGGTCCACCATCTCTTCAAATCAAAATGTATATACATCCATGATCTACCCTTGCACTATATCACAATGTCTTACCCTGTGTTATAGAGGTCATTTAGTTTATATATATAGAATTAAAACATATTTGAACACTGCTGTGAAAGAATCATGCAAGAGTACACTGATCTCAAAAATCAGAGTTCACTCCTGACGTATACAAAAGTGAGAAAATCGTGATAAGTGCTACTGTAGCCTGTTGTTTGCTGTACATATATATTACAGAGATCTGAGTTAGGATCAAGCTATCTGGTAGTTTGAGATGTTTATATATCTGTATCTTGGTAATGAAGCAACTAAACCCCTGATATGTGTTATAACCCATACGGCTACTGACATTGCAAAAAAAAAAAAGGAAAAGAAAATGTTATCATACAAACACAAATCTACATTATACAAATTAAGAATTTTTTTAAAAAGATTAGCAGATTAGCTGTTAAACATTTTTTATTATATTTCCAACGGTGAAACACTGTAATTTATCCCTTGAATAAAAGGATCTTTTTGCAAGTGATATTTTCATAGTGAAAATATCATAAGTGGTATTTTCATTAGTGCAAATATAAAAATCTCTGCAAAACATCCCTTCACAAAAAATGTTATAAAGAGAATACTCCCTTTAGATAGCATTGCTATCATCAGTGTTTGATTTGTACTGACCCTTGACCTTTGAATCATCAAGTGTAAATGAAATGCACTGATCTTTGAATCTGAGTGTGTGAGTGTCATCCTGACTTCTGACATATCATGAGTATGGTGATGTCATCCAAACATTTTATTTATCATAATGAGTTCATGAATACTGTTTTGACCTTTGACCTATCACTATAAGTGAATGTCACATAGACCTTTAACATATCACTATAAGTGAATGTCATACTGACCTTTGACCTATCACTAAATTTATATGTCACCTTTAGCCTATCACTATAAGTGAATGTTATATTGACTTTTGACTTATCACTATAAGTAAATTCATACTGACCTTTGACCTATCACTATAAGAAAATTCATTCTGACCTTTGACCTATCAACATAGGTGAATGTCATACAGTCCTTTGACCTATCACTATAAGTGAATGTCACACTGACCTGTGACCTATCACTATAGGTAAATTCATACTGACCTTTGACATATCATCATAAGCGTGTGTATGTTGTCCTGATTGTGTTTAATGTATGAGGTAAGTACGGCTGCTTCCTTCTGTAGTTTCTGCCGTCGATCCTGGATAGTTGACTCTGTGTGGGGATCTATGATAAGATGGTTCACTGTCAGGTTCTACAACAGAGAAAATCTGAGTTTACAATACACAGTGGATAGCTGACTCTGCATGTATCAGAATCAGGAATATATGCACTACCCTGAAGTGAAAAAAGATGAACATTTATATTTATCTTAATGAGGACTCCTTAATTTTAAATGAAAATAAATGGATATGAAAGGTCTAAAGAAAAGATTAACAGAAACAATTCACCAATAAAAATTATAGCAATGTAACGGGAGAGGAGAAAAATGCAGTGGACCTGACCGGGATTTAAACCCGGGCCTCCTGAATCTCCAGTCAGGTGCTCTACCAACTGAGCTCTCTCACCAGTGATCGAACCCGTCTGACCGCCACATTCCTCCCTCCTTAAAGGTCCTCGGCCCCTGAAGACACCAACCCAGGCTCTTTCCTGGCAGGTCTTTCACCTGTCACTTCCAGGGCATGGCACAGCACCAAATGTAACGGGAGAGGAGAAAAATGCAGCGGACCAGACTGGGATTCGAACCCGGGCCTGGTCCGCTACATTTTTCTCCTCTCCCGTTACATTTGGTGCTGTGACCAGGATGTGACAGGTGAAAGACCTGCCAGGAAAGAGCCTGGGTTTGTGTCTTCGGCGGCCAAAGACATTTAAGGAGGGAGGAATGTGGCGGTCAGACGGTTTCGATAGCAGGTGGCCAGATAGCTCAGTTGGTAGAGCACCTGACTGGAGATTCAGGGGGTCCAGATTCGAATCCTGGTCTGGTCCGCTGCATTTTTCTCCTCTCCCATTACAGCAATAATTCCTGGACATATAGAGTTCAAGTTAACAAGTAAGTAAATTTTTTTTAATGGTGCTGTCTTCAGAAACTAGGATTTTAACAGGTTCTCAGTGTAAAAATAGTCCATTTAATTTCTTGCTCAAGTAGTAATGGATTCGTTATCTTCTAAAAACATGCAGTTTCTCCAACAAAACACCCAAATAAAAGTATTAGCATTCTTTTTTAAGATTTGGAGAAATCTGTGCGGGTTTTTTGGTGCAGTGTAATTTTCTAGCCCTAATTTTACTCCCCAGTGCAGCAATATAATTAATTTACTGAAGTGGTGAATAGTGATCACTGTTGATAGAAGATAAAGTTGTGGTTTCTGATTCATTTACAATCAGCTGATAATGTAAAGTTTTACCCACCCAACTTAGATTGCATGCCCCACATTGACTTTCAAATTTTGCAGAAAAATTGTAAAATAAATTGTATATAATACAGTTGAACATTGGTATCTCAAACACTGATATCTCGAATACCGTGGATATGCCGAAGTGAATTGGAAGTCTCAACCACTTTTTCTTTAAGTATTTAACCCTTGATATCTCAAACTCTAGGATATCTTGAAGTTTTCTCTTGGTCCCATTGAGTTTGAGATAATAAAGTTTGACTGTACTTATCTTCACATGCTTAAAAAAGTGACTGAATTCAATTTTTTTCATTAAGAATGATCTCAAATATATAATGTACAACTTAATTACATCATGTGAAATATTTGATATGTAATTCTCTCTCTATTGAGATTTTTTCTTACATATCATATTCATTTTAGAAAATTCCTCTTAAATAACAAAATAATTGATAAAATGCCACCAGTTTATTCTCTGCAACATGCAATGAATTAAGACAACCTTTTACAAAATGAAAAATATCAGATATGCAGGTTTTGATGTAAGAATTTGCACATTTCAATAAGGTGTTTTTTGTTCAATATTACATCACCAACTTCCATTATCTCTATTACACAAGGTAAGTAAAAACTGTCTGGTAAATAAATAGTAAACATCAAACATGACATTAATCCTCTGGTATCTAACAAGCATTATTACTTAGTTGATTAAATTTATAAATCAGGCATAGAGTGCACAACACAACATCAGAGGGAGGAACAATGAAAGGTGCATACAACGGAACACATGAACTTAGTGTAGAAGATAAGAAAATAATGAGGAAACGATTGTTTTCTGTCTGATTTTTATCCCCTGAAGTGAAGTACACAAGTAATCGTAAGACAAGGCACTCTTTGACTTTGTATATTAAGAGAGGTCAGCTTTTGTGTTCCTCGGTGCTGATGTCAGAACTTAAAAATAATAATCTCTGACAGAAAACTGACGGCAGAGTCTGCATCAAGTGTCAGAGAGTAAGTATACGGGGATCAGAACATTAGACACTGGACACAGCATCAGATGCTTCTAATCAAGTGGTCCTCTACTTAGCTACAGGAAGTCTCATCTCTCTCTCTCTCTGCTCTCTCTCTCTCTCTCTCAGGCTGTTTATAAATATTTGGCCTGTGTTGGTTGCCCTGATTTTATTTGCCAGTGAAGTGGAGATTATACTTAAAGCTGAAGAGATGTGCACTTCACGTCCAGAGTCAGATGGAGATGATGAAAAAACATTACAGAAAGTTAAAAAATCATACAGCTTTGACAGCATATGATGGGAAAAGCCAATATAGTTGCATGCTTCAGTCTTGGATGACCTTGAATTAGGATCATTTACTGCTTGATCGGCTCAATTTAAGAAAACTACAGGGTAGTGAAACTCATCATTAAAAAGAGTTTGAAATTCAAATCTAATGTTTTATTTTCTAAGAAAAAAGGGTATATTTTCTAATGAACCTTTTCATGCCAAAACCAAAGAAACATTTTATTTTACACTTATGGATCACTTTACCCTTAGTCTAGGTCACACCTTATATCTTGAGAACTGTAAGAGGTATGGATTAGATAATTTTGCTAATGTATTACTTGGCACTATAACTTTTGTAGAATACCATGGTTACCAATGCAATGATTGGGAAGGGCTTGTGCCATGCGCCATAGTTGCATTGAAGTGAAAATTGGCACATTAAATCAACCATTGGTTGGCCAAGGTGCGCATATTCAATTTTTAGCGATTTTAGTTAGAAATACATGTATTTTGTATACAACTTTTTCTTTCTTATTTGTTCTACTTTGAAAATTCAGTTTAAATGCTGTCATTTTAATACAACAAATCTCATTGGTTAAAACCATCAAAAACTGCTTCCTGTTACAAGGAGCACTTAATATAGGAAAGCAAAGGTATGTCATTACCTTACTCTTTTCCAATGCAATCGACATTTTGACGTTATTGATCCAAAAATACCGTTAAATTATATTGTATGAGGGTTTCTTTAAATGTGCTGCACTGCATATGTGAAGAATAAGATGTGGTCAATAAAAATATGTTTTTCTTTCATATTTCATATTTGTCATTTTGTTACTTCTTAAAATGGACCTTCAGAATATATAGATGGCCCATTCATTTTTAGAATGGCCCATTAAAAATTTTGGCAGTTGTGCCATAGTCCCATTGACCTTCATAGCCTTCCAAATCACTGCCAATGTGGTGACCTTTCAACTTGACCATTGGCCTACTTTTCAAAATAGTTCCTAATGCTGATAAACAGAATATTTTGGACATTTGAGAGATGAATCTGTGCTATTTAGCATATGCACTGTTTGTCATAAAATATTATGATAAATACCAGTGGTAAAGTCTTCTTGACCTTTGATCTACTTTTCAAAAATACTCTAAATGGTTAATTTATCTTATGGCTTCTGAATTTTGAGAAGCAGGGCTTCTATAACTTGCATATATATCACATGTTCTGAGCTTATGACACTGTACTTTTAAAATGTATGATATACAGTTACCACATAAAGTGAAATTGAAATACAAATGTACTATGAAAATACATCAGGATCAGTTTACTGAAATGGATCATATCAAATAAATATGTAGACTGACAGCTGCTGTAAAGACTGACTGATATCTCTTTCTAATTACATGTAAGGGATTGTTGAATTAAAGAATACATAAATAATTATTTCTAATAATATAAAGGATGACTGCACTTAACGCCTGTTTTTGGGTCTTTTTCGGTTGCTTCTGTTGCTTTTATATCTAAACCTTATCTCACTTTTGTATGTTTATGAAAGATTATACTGCCAATTTGGAACCACATTTAAATCTGAGAATGATTTTAGACTGTGATACAATAAAATGATTCAATTTTTTGTTGTCCTTACTGCTTTCTAAATATAGTGAATTTACACTTACCTGCCCTTGATTGAACATTAGATATGCATATAGATATATATCAAATATAGTGAATTTACACTTACCTGCCCTTGATTGAACATTAGATATGCATGAGAGGTGGAGCTAACATTGTAAGAATGGGTCTAAAATTAGACTTGATAAATAACAATAACATGTTTGGAAAAGCAAATGTAATAACTCTTTCCAATCTCCCTCTCCATTCTGTATGGCACAAATACACTACTGACAAAGATTTCAAAACGAAATTAACAATAGGAGCACGTCAATGTAATTAAAGAAGATTTTATATCAATGCCAGATAACATAATGTGTTCAAACATAGTGTCCTAGTTAGCACAAAACATGCTATCTTACAAGTCATGTGATGGAATTAAGAATTCACAAAGTTACCTGAGGTAAGAAATCACGTGGTGAATTATAATATTCAACATGTCACAATCCTTGGTTACAACACAGAGAGCGAATGTAAGAAGAAGCAGTTTTTTCTCTTTTTAACCACGAGCGCATGTTTGTCTATTAATCTCCCTTTGACACATTATTATTTATGCAAATATACAACTACTGTTAATCGTAGAACAATAGACAAACATGCGCTGACTATGTATAAAGTCAGTAAAAAAGTGGGCGTCCTCATTATCGAACGGAGATTCAAGAAATTGTTATGACCCCTGCCTATGAAAACAGATTTGAACTTCGTAAATACACACTTTTATTAAACGTAATTACATAAAGTTGTAGATTGGATGTTGGCCATTCTTTCAATGAAAAGAAAAATGCTTGTTTTTAAAGTTTATTTTGTCGCAAATTCCGCATGTCCTTAAGTGCAGTCATCCTTTCATTATTTGTTATAGCTTTAACTCTTGAAGAATCATATTTCTCAGTTTGATTGTCACACCTCACAATAAATGATATTCTATCGCAGTCTTAATATCCATGGGCATTTTTACCCCCCCCCCCCCCCCCGCTTGAAAAGCTGGGGGTTTATAGTGATGAGAGTGTCCATCTGTCCATTCATTATGCTTTGGGGTACACACCTATAACTTATCCACCACTCCTCCTATACATTGAATAAAATTTAATGAGACTTTCACAGAATCTTTGTTACATAGTGCCATTGTGACCTCCTATTTTAGTTTTTGATCAGACACATATTTCGGGTTTCCAGTAGAAAAACATGGACACTGCCATTCTTTCTATGATATCATGGTACCCATCTTTTATCTGCAACTCCTCCTAAACCATAGAATAAAATTTAATGATACTTTCACAGAATATTAAATAAAGTCATTTTGTGCACTTCTTATTTTACTGTTTGATTGGACACATATTTGGGGTCTCCCATTGCAAAACATGGACTTTGCCATTATAAACATATGGGAGGCAAGGGGTATCATTTTGTGAGCCCAGCTGGCAGATTTTGGAAATAAATAATCTGTCCTCGAAATTGTAGAAAATAAATAATATGTACTTACCGACAAGAAAATAAATAATAGATTCTTGACTAGTGCTATCCCCCCCCCACCCCCCCCCCCCCCCCCCCACCCCCAAACACACACACACACACTCACACTTTTTGGAGTTTGGGCATTTTTCAATTTTTCTACCTTTTTTTTTTTTTGCTTGTCAAACTTTATTTTTCAGAGAAGAAAAAAAATAAATTTTCTGTCCTTGATCATCTTGAAAATAATAATCTGTCCTAGACTGGCATGAAAATAAATAATCTGACTCAAACACCTGCCCATCCCCCACCCCCTCTCAGAATCAAATGGTGACAGAGTTCTGTGAATTTATCCCTGACTTTACTTAAGGTGTCTTAAGCCTGTGAATTTATCCCCAACATTATTTCAGGTGTCTAAGGCCTGTGAATTTATCCTCGACTTTATTTCAGGTGTCTAAATTCTGTGAATTTCTTTAGGTGTCTGAGTTCTATGAATTTATCCCAGATTTAACTTCTGGTGCCTGGTGATAGATTCCTGTTTACACCAGTATAAGCTCTAGCTGTTTGTATTACATTAGATACATTGATTTAGCAAATAGGGAGAGATGTTTCCGACAAACAGCCTGTTTGTAGAATTCAAGGTCAGCTCTGTTTTCCTTCAGTGATATATGCATGCATGCAATTTACTTTCCTCCACATGTTTCTTGCCACTATTAAGTTCTGCCTCAAAATTCATAATTTGTATATGTATGGAGATCAACAGGTGCTTCACTTTTAAAAAAAAAAAATAAAAATAAAATAAAAATATCATTTTTCTGTATGCTATATTTTTTCTATAATAAAATTTCACCTATCTGCTTGCTATTATAGTATCAGGCATATTTTACTTTCAAGTCAAAAAATCACCATGTTGTGTCCATTATATCCAATACTCAGCTCCTAAGAAAACAGGATCTAGTGAAGAACATGTATGAATGGTACTCAATTTTTACAGGTGTTATTTAACATCTCTTGACCTTATTACATGCTGTATACTGATTCACTCATTTTCCCTGTTCACATGAATGTGCATTAAATATTTAATTTGCAGTAAATTAATGCTAAGTTAAAAAAAAATCAAATTAAACTAGTGCAAATTAAATTGCGTTCACAAGACAGATCTAATGCCCATCAAAAGAACAAGGTTCACTTAGGGCGTTTTTGGCACTGTGAATTTCCGAAAAACTGAAACTGCTTAGTTTTAGTTGACAATGCATTAAATTTCATTTAGACTTTTGGCAATTGCGAATCTACCAAATCTACCAAAAACATAAGATGTTAGTCAATAAATTGGTAATATATATAGGACCATTTTATGCATGAAGTGAACCTAGCTCTTTATTTGTGCGGTAAGGCTATTATGACATCATTTGCAAATCATGTCACCTTTTGCAGAGCATGCAGATTTATATATTTGACATAATGTCATAGTGTCTATACACATTTATGACACTGAACAAAAATGTCTGTGCAAAGTAACACGGATAAATAGATGGACATGATGATTATATTTACATGAGGCCTGTTCAACAGAGCGAACGTTCGTGAGCGCTCGCCAAAATTCCTCATTTTTCCAACAGAAATGTTCGCGAGCGCTCGCGAACGTTCGCTCTGTTGAACAGGCCTCTGTATACCCTCCTAGCTCTTAAAATAAGTCCATATGGACTACACACACAGCATACTCTAAACATAGGAAGGGCTCTAATCAGATTGTTGATATATATATATATATATATATATATATGATTTGAACAAATTTGAATCTACACTACCTGAGTATGCTTCCATTTGAATATGACCAATCATAGCTTTGCGGTTCTTGAGAAGAAGATTTTTAAAGATTTTTCCTATGTATTCCTTTGTAAAACTTTGATCGCCCATTGTGGCCCCACCCTACCCTCGGGGGTCATGATTTGAACAAACTTGAATATACACTATCTGAGGATGCTTCCATATAAATATTACCAAGTATGATTTTGCTGTTCTTGAGAAGAAGATTTTTAAAGGTTTTTCCTATATATTTCTATGTAAAACTTTGATCCTCCATTGTGGCCTCGCCCTACCCCACGGGGTCATGATTTGAACAAACTTGAATCTACACTACCTGAGGATGTTTCCATTTAAATATGACCAATCATGGCTTTGCTGTTCTTGAGAAGATTTTTAAAGATTTTCCCTATGTATTCCTTTGTAAAACTTTGATCACCCATTGTGGCCCCACCCTACCCCTGGGGGTCATGATTTGAACAAACTTGAATCTACACTACCGGAGGATGCTTCCATATAAGTTTCATATTTTCAAGCACAGTGGTTCTTGAGCAGAAGATTTTTAAATGATGCCATTAATTTTTCCCAAATTCATAATTATCTCCCCTTGGATGAAGGCGTGGCCCTTCATTTGAACAAACTTGAATCTGCTTTACCCAAGGATACTTTGTGGCAAGTTTGGTTGAAACTGGCCTAGGGCTTCTTGAGAAGAAGATGAAAATGTGAAAAGTTAACAAGGACGACAACGCCAACAACGACGACGGACAATTTTTGATCAGAAAAGCTCACTTGAGCCTTCGGCTCAGGTGTGCTAAAAATTGTTTGGTTGAACTTTCCCAACCCACTATCTAAAAATGGCCCAACTCAAAACTTTTTTTACCACCAGGAAGAATTTTTTTTTTTTTATTACCGTATATACTCGCCTATAAGTCGGTTTTATGGGAGTTAAACTTTGGTCCAAAACTCTTTATCCGACTTATAGGCGAGTTGTAAAAAGACTGGTATTTTAGTTGGTCAATCTCTCTAATTTAAGCTTAAAAAATACAACCGACTTATAGGCGAGTATATACGGTATGCAGATTTTGAAAATTCAACACTGAAGTTGAAAGGAGTATTCTACTTAAGTATAGTAGTGTGGTCCCTTTTTACACCCTTGGTTTACCGGTTAAATATTAGCATACAGTATTTTGATTGTTTTCATTGTGTAAAACGAAGTATTTCTAATTAAAACGTTGTGTATTTATAATGAATAATTAAACATATCAAAAAGTACAAACCTATTTTTAACACCTATCGCACTAAAAAATGCCGGAACATTTTCCCCCGATCAGACTACGGTTTCTCTATTACATGGAAATGGGCGGAGACATTTAGATTAGATACTATAAAAAGAAGATCTTGGTATGATGTTTTTCTTTCAAAGACGAATTATATGTTCAAGATTCACAATGAACTACAAATACAATTTTCTATATTTACAAAACTTTGGCAATAAAAGCTATATATCAAGATGAACCAAGCAAGTCCTTGCTGATCGATATAAAACTGAGTACGTTTCAACTGAGAACTAGCACGTTTACTGTGGGCATTTACCCGTAACGATACAAATCCACGTGGCTTGCTATGATTCTAAACAGGTCATAAAGAGGTTAATTGCATGTAAATGAAGTCAGCCAAGAGATTCAAAATCTTAATACTTTTAATTAGAAAACACAGAGCACAGGGTTGTTCAACAAAGATATTTTCACTAAACATCTACACATATGATATACACATTATATTTCAAACTCGACTCTGAACAAACCTGTGCTCGGTGTTCACGAAAGCTTTGAAGTGTGTACCTGTCACTGATTTCTTTTGATATTCATGAAAATCAAAGGACCCTACCATCAACGCGCAGCTTCGTATGCTGCCTATATCTATTGTTTGACATTTTTAGATGATGATTCAAATAATAAAGACATTAGTTAATAATAAAATTTAATTTTTAAAAATTTTAATAAATGTTCGAAATTTGACGAGTAACTGGGGACCACAGATAAGCTTTATTGAGACTTGTTCTTTCCTGGGAAAAAAATTTTCTCACCTACCTACCTACCAACTGAATTTTTTCATCCTGAGTCGGGAGAGCAAACGAACATTATTTTAAAGTTGGCCTTATATTTATGTTTGAATGCATAAAGGGGCATAACTCTGCCACATAGAAACATGTAAAGATATTGCCATCCATTGGAGCAAAGGTACACAGGTACAGTTAAGTATATGAAGTTTAAAATGATGATGTCCACATATGAAGGTATGTTGACATGAATGTAAACAGTTCATTAATCACTGTATTAAAGATAATGATATCCTTGTGTGTAGATAGTTAATTTACCTCTGTTATAGATATTGACATCTGTGTGTGTAGAGATTTGATTTAACCTGTGTTATAGATGTTGATATCTGTGTGTGTAGAGACTTGATTTAACCTGTGTTATAGATGTTGATATCTGTGTGTGTAGAGACTTGATTCACCTTTAATTGTGTTATACAATGTACATGTTGATATCTGAGTGTATAGAGAGTTCGATTACCTCTGTATTATAGATGTTGACATCTGCAGGTCTGAAGGTATGCGTAGAGATTTCCATTTTTGTTGGCTCTGTGTTAATGGCATTCATAAAGTATGAAATATCAAGCTGTGGATTGACCTGTCGACAGAACTTCAACATCTCCTTAAAACGATGATGCTGCTCATCTGCCTGTCCAAGAAATTTTTAAAAAATCAGAAAAGCTTGGAGATAAATCATAAATCATGAAATACTACTAGTTTGATCTGGAAAGTAAACTATATACCTATTTACTGCCTATAAGGACAATAGTAAGTTATTGATGTTAACTTCTTCCTCGAGGTGTAGCCAAGGGAATTACAGTAAAAAATGCTTATGCAAACACACTTATAATGAATTGATGCTTACAGCAAAATTATTTTCATTCCATGTGACTATAAATTATATTTCAAACTTAATGGATATAATGAATTATGCTTGTAAGGGAGACAAATCATTCATCCCTGGCACTTTGTTATAAGCATGTTTTCCTGTAGTTGCGAAGAAGGGGGACAATAAACTTGCTGTTGTCCAAATAGTCAGTAAATAGGTGTTTTATTATTTTATTATACAGAAGCAGACTTTACTTGTGTCACGTCATGATCTGGATAAAACCACAAGAGTTCAAAATGCGATGGAAATGGAATGCTGCTGGTGGATAATTTGATGACTATTTCACCATGGGCGAATAGCACAAAAACTTTTCCACAGTAGGGGCAGTTAATAAAACACAGCAGGTTTATTTGTCATATTAATTCACAGAGGTATAACAAAATGCACTCAGCATATTTTGGGGTCAAATATCTTCTAATTTCAACATGAGTCCTGATTGAGGCCAGTGAAAATGCTGCTAGAATACTCCAGGTCTGTGGATTGGATAGAATTTTGAAAGCAGTATCCCTGCTGAAGAATGTGTCCAAGTTGTAATGCATCAGCATCAGCTCATATGTGACATGTGTCATGACCCTGAGCCAAGGTCATATGAAGAGGGTCTAGGTCATACAGCTCAAAATTTTCTATGCCACAACTTTATTATGCAAAGATTATAGAAGTTCGTCATTAGTGCAAGGGTTATTGGTGCCCTGACTCTGACCCCAAGGTCACTTGGACAAAATCAAGGTGTAAGAATCTTGTCTTTGTCAAAGTTAATGATTTAAATTCTGTAGAAGCTCACATTTGACATAGGTTTTGGTGAAGGGGAATTTGTCATAACCTTAAATCTATTACACAACTGACAAGGTAAATTCTATAGGTATCCAAGCTACTGTTTATGTATGATTTCTGCAGAAAAGCAAGAAAATTATGTCAAATGCACAATTTCCCTTCATCAGAAATATTCCTCATTATAAATATCCTCTCTGCCTCTAACCATCTAGAAAGTTAAGTGCTTTATTAGTGTCTCAACTCTTACTTCTTTATGGTCTAATTGTAGCCTCCAATGTCAGATGGTAAGGGAAAAAAAGAGTACTTCTTCAAATCATTCATTTAAATGTGACCCAAAAATAAATAAAATGATTTAATAATAAATATTATCTTGTATTGTGATCCAAGATAGCTGTATAATTTCCAGCAACGATAGAACTTTATACAATTTACAAAGACATAAATGCAATTATTTTAATTTATATAGCAAAATTACAGTCTGTTTGCCCTTAAAACTCCATGATGTGGCAAGGTATTTTTCTTAAAAATTATAGATCTATTTTTTTTTTTAAATGTAAATTTTCCTTTCCCTTTTCACCTGGAGGATGTTAATCCCATTTAATAAGACAGTTCTGGTTCTGAATTTTTTTTTATATAGAACTGCTTTATCAAGTTTTAACTAGAATTGTACAAAGAGGACCAATACCCCTGGGTAACTAAGGAAAGGATGACTTTAAATTAAAACTCTAATATTTTGCTAAAACAAAAAGAATTGAACTGCAAATCCCATGGCCTTAATCTTCACATCTTATGAGCATTTAATCTTTAATTGTTTTGAGAATTAAAAAAGCTCCAAGAATTAAAGTTTGATGATTTAAAGAACAACTAACTTCCGAGTCATATGATGTTGATTTGATACAAACATGGTTAAGACTCAATTTACCCTATGACAAACCTTAGTGGTGGATTTAAGAGGGGTGGGGAGGGGTGCACCCAGTGTCCATCCCCTAGCTAAAATTCTCAAATTCAATCACTGCTCCTTCTATGAAAAGACATGATTTATTGGACAAAGGGGTGTAAATCTATATTCTTGCAAGACAAGAGCTTCTGGGGGCTTGACTCCTTCCATAGATCTTGAAATATTTATAGTTTTTGTAAATTACTAATTATGGTGGCAAGAAATCATACAACTGTCTACTTAGAAAACTTCATTTTTGCCCTTCACCAGGAGTTTCCAAGGGCTTGTCCCCCTGGGTTTCACCAGATTTGCCTTGCCTCAACCTGGCCCCAGACCCCCTACCTAATCACCTCTAGCTTCAAATCCTGGATCTGCATGTATTCTTGAGTCAAAAGCAACTCTGGTACAATTATATACTTGTAATGTTTCTCCATTTCAAAATTGTGCCTATAGAACAATACTTTTTAAAATACCTTTGTGACGTTGATATTGTCTACAATAACCTTGATCAGGGTCAAGATACACCTCAGGTTACCTTTGTAATTTTGTATTCTTGTATTTAACTTGTACGTATTCTTGGTTTTAAAATTACATCCAGAAAAGAAATTTATTCTTCTTATTCCTTGTATTAGAAAATCTTTAAAAAAGCTATAAATCTAAAAATAACCTAATTCATAAAAAATAATGCCAAATTGCACATGTTTAAATGGTATATATAGTGTATTATTTGTTAAAGTTTGAAAAAAAAAATATCATTGCCAAAAGTACCGAGATAATCTCAGGGAAAAATGTCAATGCACTGACAATGCACTGGTGGTTCTAGTTTAATCCCCAAACCCATCAATTTCAAATTTTATTTTTAAGGAAATAAAATAGCTCACTAGTGCAAAAAGATTTGAATCTTGAATGATTTTGCCCATGTTCTATTTCACGAGGAGATAAAGAGGTGGAGTATTTCAAAATCACTTTCCTTAAAGTTTATAACCACTAGACTAAATATTAAATGCTAGCTTCTTCAGTGTAGAATTGGCTCAAACCACAGCCTCTGTGATCAAAATAAGGAAAAAAGTATTGATTAGATTTTAAATTGATTAGAAATTTAAATCTATGAAAATTTTCAATAATATTCTTACAAGTTGAAAAAAATGACATTTCATCAGTTATATTATGAATGGATTTTCTAATCAAAGTTTCTGATTTAAGTTCTTTGGAGGGAAAAGGCAATCTATTATGTATTATAAAATAATTTTACAAGTCTATGAATTTGATTTCTGTAATTTTCTGATCAAATAAACATACGAGTTACAGATCCCAAAGTTAAACACCGGTAGTCTAGAGAACAAATTTCAAAATGTCATTCTGTGACTACGTGCAATACCAGTATCACTGAAAATCAGCCCTACGTAACATGGTATCAACATGGTCTCTGATGTGACACAGGAATTACATCAAATTCAGATCTAGTTTCTATACTGAGCAACACATCTTTTAACAAGCTTCTGGCATTGATCAGGGCATTAGATGTGATGGAAATGTTGGAAGTCTGTCAGAGTTATCCACCTTACCCTATTTGTTGTGATGTTTACAGTGAATTGAATGAGTCCAGTAAACCTGCTTATAAAAGCTCTGAGGACAGCTGTACTTGTTGACATTGATTTGAATGAGTATAATAAAACCTGCTTATAACAAAGCTCTGAGGACAGCTGTACTTGTTGACAGTGATATGAATGAGTACAGTAAAACCTGCTTATAAAAAAGCTCTGAGGACAGTTGTACTTGTTGACAGTGATATGAATGAGTACAATAAAACCTGCTTATAACAAAGCTCTGAGGACAGCTGTACTTGTTGACAGTGATATGAATGAGTACAGTAAAACCTGCTTATAAAAAAGCTCTGAGGACAGTTGTACTTGTTGACAGTGATATGAATGAGTACAATAAAACCTGCTTCATAACAAAGCTCTGAGGACAGCTGTACTAATGAATGGGTACAGTAAAACCTGCTTATAACAAAGCTCTGAGGACAGCTGTACTTTTGTTGACAGTGGAATGAATGAGTACAGTAAAACCTGCTTATAACAAAGCTCTGAGGACAGCTGTACTTATTGACAGTGATGTAAATGAGTACAGTGAAACCTGCTTATAACAAAGTTCTGAGGACAGCTGTACTTGTTGACAATGATATGAATGGGTACAGTGAAACCTGCTTATAACAAAGCTCTGAGGACAGCTGTACTTGCCTGCTTATAACAAAGCTCTGAGGACAGCTGTACTTGTTGACAGTGATATGAATGAGTACAGTGAAACCTGCTTATAACAAAGTTCTGAGGACAGTTGTACTTGTTGACATTGATATGAATGGGTACAGTGTAACCTGCTTATAACAAAGCTCTGAGGACAGTTGTACTTGTTGACAGTGATAGGAATGAGTACAGTAAAACCTGCTTATAACAAAGCTCTAAAGACAGCTACAGGTACTTGTTGACAGTGATTTGAAAATCTTACCTTTGTCAGAAGCATTAAAGTGTGACTCTCCATGGCAATGTTGACAAGGATTGAATATCTTACCTTCTTCAGAAGTATTAGAGCATGACTCTCCATGGCAATGATGACAGTGATATGAATGTCTTACCTTTGTAAGAAGCATTAAAGCATGACTCTCCATGGCAATGTTGACAGTGATATGAATATCTTACCTTTGTCAGAAGCATTAAAGTGTGACTCTCCATGGCAATGTTGACAGTGATATGAAAATCTTACCTTTGTCAGAAGCATTAAAGCATGACTCTCCATGGCAATGTTGACAGTGATATGAATATCTACCTTTGTCAGAAGCATTAAAGCATGACTCTCCATGGCAATGTTGACAGTGTTACTGGTATCTATATAGATCTCCTCAAGCTCCTGGTTAAAATTAAAATGAAAATTTATTAGTTTACTGTATAAATAATACTTATCTGATGCTGTAATAGTTAATGATTTACCTATCTTAAAGAAGCAATACAAACAGAAAAAAGCAGAACAGTCCTACCTCAATTTTATGGAAATCAAGATGCAAATATTAACATATAATATTTACAGAATCAGGAAAATAAACCAAGTTAACAATTCTCTCCTTCTATAACCAAATCAGATTTACAAGTAACAATCAATTCAATGTGAATTCTTCTCACGGTATGCATTATCTCTTTCTTCATAAATGTACTAGTATTTAGATGTAAACCATTCACATTTTATGGAGATATATATTAATTGCAGATAGATGGCCGAGAATAACTAGAAACAATCCAGCTGCATTAAGTCTTCATCAATATTTATTTCAGAATTGTTTGATACATGTGCAAGTAAGATTGCAAGTTTTGGATACCAGTTCTATTTTTGTTCCTAACTTAATAGAAGTCGATGAAAAGCTTTAAAATAAACAATTATAATATAATAAACAATGTTTACTCATGATAAAGAAATTCAAGACAAATGATTGAAAATGCTTTTTGTAATAACTACCCAGCAGCCTTTGCCTTCACCCCTTGCTTCCCCAATGGAATAGCAGATATTTGGGAAGTACTTGATAAAGCCACCACAGGTGTTAGGGGACAGGATCCCCATCCCATGTTCCATACTCCAAGGGGTTCTTTGGCTTTTTATATAAATCAATTTTCTATGACACATTCACAAAGTATTAAAAAGAGATCTTTTATAGTATCAGAGAGTGTGATTTTTTATATAAGGTTAGTAGGTTATATTTTGGATTTTTTTTTAGCATTGTAATACATGTACTTGTCAATGTGTCATAGAAAAATATTTTATATAAAAAGGCAAAAGAACCCCTGGTGTACAGAACGTGGGGTGGGAATGGGGGGGGGGATCCTTTGACCAAAGCCATGTCCTTCGCCCTTACCTCCCCAACATCTACTATCTTCTAGCATCCACAACTTTTACTTTTAACCCTATGTGTCCAGGCGTCCATAGCAAATAACCCCTGATTATCCGCCTTGTTTTTGTTTTAAAATCCTTTAAAATTATTCTGATAGGAAAAAGATAAGGGAATTTAACCAGGCGCATTTTCAAAATGGAGGATCGAACGGTGGGCTGTAGGATACCTTTGACCAAAATTCAAGCCGCCGATTTCTGATCGAATACTACTTTCTTCAAATCAAGTTAAGAAGTGGAAGAAAAAAATCATTGTTGAAGAAATTAGTTTTATTTCAGTCATTTTTCTTAGAACGAGGTCATTCCTCCTTGATCAGGACTGTCAGACCCAGTCTGACTTATAAGTTTGTACGCATATCATAGAACTTTGACATATCCGCCACTTACAGTGACGGGCATTACCTCTAAAACTTGTGGAATGAGATACTGGAACTCCTCTATTGTCCTGTTGGAAGCACACAATTGACAAAGATATTCGTTGTGAGCGCCGAGGAACTGAAGTCTGGCGTTATAGTTGGAATTGGTCTGATAAACCTTTACTGAAGCCTCATAGTTCTCTTCTGCCTGTAAAAAAAAAGATTTTCAGAGAGAGAGAGAGAGAGAGAGAGGTTCTAATGCCTTTTAACTTTGATATTTTTTTGGAAAGGAACATGTATTCATGTAATTATGAAATAAGATATCATTTTAAGAGTTTCATTGGGATATGACATGAAGTTGGTCATGTGATCAAATCCTATAACGCCCCAAGGGCATTATAGAAGATTTGATCACGTACCAACTTCATGTCATATCCCAATGAAACTCTAAAAAATGATATTTTATTTCTTATATTTATATTTTTATTTCTATTAACGTTATAAAGAAAAAACCCACTCTTTAGACTTTGTTATTGAAATGCAACATAACGTAAATATAACGACGTCATATGACGTAACAATCAATACATCCCAAATGTCTCGCGCGGAGCAAGAAAGTTTGATCATGTGACCAACTGCATGTCATTGAAAATTGAATGTCAATTTAATTTGTATTGTCATATAAGGAAAGACATTGGCAAATGTAAATATTTATAATTCATAGTGATTCTCTGTAACCACTTAAACTTCTTTGCCACGCATGGTCACCAATTTTGATGAAACTTTGCCCATTATTACAACTTGACACCAGAAACATATATCAAATAAAATTTCGTTGCTATGTGTCTTGGTTGCCATGGTAACAGCCAGAAAAGTTGAAAAAATTGAGATTTTCAGCTACTTTAAATCTTTATTAAGTCTTAATAAAGACCAAGAAAAATAAACAAACCATTCTCCCAAAAACATGACACCTTCTTGCCACTTATGCTATAAAGAAACTATTTAGAATTAATCTCTAAGTAAGTGGTAACCATGGGTACATTTGGAATACATTTTAGATGCTGAAAAATGCTGAAAAACGCTCTATAGTCACAAATGATAGATGTTACATGATCAAACTCAATCAACAATGTAAGAAAAACAATGAAAAATATTTGACCTCATGTAATTAGGTATTGGCAATATTATTCTAAAAATAACTTTCATGGTTGCCATGGTAACACAGTGTCACCATGCAAAATCTGTTGCTATGATTGGGTTAATGCTACTATCGTGAGGAAAAACAATAAAATTCATGACTGGCACATATGCATCCTTAGGACCTTGCAACACCGACAACATAAGAAAAATTGAGATAAATTGTTACTTTGCAGTGTAACCATGGAAACAATGTACTAGTTGTTTAAAGTGATTTTTTTGCTGCTTTGGGTATTTACTAACCTTTTAATCAAGAAAAATATTATTTGAATCACCTTGAATAGTACTTATCTCGTAGAACTAATGTTGAATATCATATATTGATAAAGGTTATTGAAAAATACAACACTGTTGCTATGGTTACCAAGAAGAGAAAATGTTCGATTTTGTTAATTTTTTGTCAACATTAGACCCTATGTGCCAGCTTTTTGCATCCAGTTAGAGATTGGGTGATAGTCAAAATTGAAAGTCAGGTTAGTTTTTCACATATATCAATCATTAAAGTTTTGGGAATCTACATACAACGGTACGTATCCAAGGAAACAGAGTGTTTTTCAGATTTTTATGCATGTTTTTTCGCCTTATTTCCATAGCAACGCACTATTTAAAGAATTGAAATTGAATTTTTTGAAATGTGAAAATTAGGGTCACACCAAGGCCTTTAAAAATTGATCATCAGTTATATAGAAATATGCTTTTTAAAAAGATAGGATAAGATTAAAACACTAAGAGAGTAAATTTAAAATCCCTTCGTGGTATTAAAACCATGGCAACCATTGCCAACCTATAAGAAATATCATATTTTGTCCTTGGTATATGTTACAAGGATCTCTTCTCTATTAATTGCTTGCATTTCAAGCTTTAATTGTTTTTATTCTTAAGTGTATGACTTTATAAAATTAAATGAACAAAATTATTACTTTTGAATACTTTGTTTCCATAGTAACGTATGTTAAAGATAATTTACCAAACATGTTTATCATGCATTTAAGACACCAGGCCTTCAACTTTCAAAAACAGTCATTGCCACTTGTTTGCTTTGCTGCAAACGTTAACTGTGGGACTCTGAAGATGTTGAAAATTGCCATTTTTCAAACTTTAGGACATATTGCTATGGTAACCATGACACATAGCAACCAATTTTTGCCTGATTTGAGTTTACGGTATCAAAGACTTTTATCTTAGAGAGTTTGGAGAAATTCTGAGACTATGCGTGCCACAGCTCCTATATAAAAGTTCAAGTCATTACAGAGAATGGCTCTTAACGCATGGTATTCCCAGAAATATCTAAAATGTTTCAAAGTTGACGTTAATTAGAACACCTTTTTTTTTTTTTAAAGATGTTTCGTTTGATTGATTATTATTTTTTAACGCCGAGTCGGCAATATTTCAGCCATATTTCGTTTGAAGTTTACAATGCCCATAGTAAAACATTTATAATTACCAATGGAGTGTATTTTCGATTAGGAATTCGAAATTAAATGACCTCATCACACAATTTTATTTTAGATCAATTGAAAATATAATTAATGTTTGCCTCTTCCTTCTTCAGTTTCTGTTACTGTAATATCTTACGTTAATAGATAACACCTCTGTATGATCAGTCACTACTGGATCGTTCTTCTGTTTTATTTCTCTTAGCTGTCTGGACACCTATAATATATCTTTTTTTTCTCAGTGCGAAAACGTACAAGAAAACGTATCAACATACTAATATTGGAGTTGAGAGTGAAATGGCAGATCCCAAAATAGTAGATGCCATTTTACCATACGCCTTCATTAACGAAACTTGAGTCCTTATGTGTGGAAAAAGGGAACAAATTATCTCCTCTGCCTTTTTACAACTGACAACAACCAAAAATTAATCACTCTCAAGTTGTTCTTTAGAGGGAAAAAATTAATGACCAATAAAAACCATGTAAAAAGGGTTTTTCAGTGCAAAATTGGACTCCCCCTCCCCATATGCACCCTTGTCCCCGGGGCTATTAATGAATTAAGAGAGAGAGAGAATATCTGTGAGCTTTGAAAATGAGCCTAAGCTGCTAAACTTCGTTTATCTGCGACCAAAATTGCAAAATCTATTCACTGATACATTTTTACAAAGGAAACTAATACAAATCTCCACAAAAACGAAAGAAGATAAACTAAAATTGTTATCTAAAATATTTTATTTTGTATATGAAAAAAGAGAATTCCTTACACGGGCAGAGAATGTGGTGAAGTGTCATTACTCTTATTCACAGAAGTGCTCAGATTTTAATGGAGAGTGGAGGAACAGGCTAAATCCGCCATTATTGTTTTTTATGCACTAAAAGTGATTGAATTTTGCCCCGTAATACGAATGTAAGCCTGATTTGCGTTTATACGTCAAGTTTAATCCGAATTAACGTTAATTTGGGTGTCAAATTACCACGAGAATGCGCAGGGAAAATTCGGAATTGATGTAGATTGTTACGAAACAATTCCCAATTGAATTCTGGATTAAAATGTACTTGTGGAAAAATAATTATGATTTTTTTAGCGAAGATGACTGTTAAAGAACTTCTTACGAATATAAGATTTATACAAGTTTTCTTTTTAGAGGTGGTTATATATCCTTCTTTTACTCCAAATGTAGAAATTAAGGATGTCAACGAATATTCGAACATTCGAATATTCATTCGATGAGTTAATATTCGAATATGAATTTAAGATTCGAGTATTCGGTGTTTTTCAGATTTCACAAAAAGGTAATACATTTTAATTAGACCAGTGCTGGAATTATCAACGTTTTATTTACCAGCGATCCCCTGATTTCTTTCGCTACTTATCTTAGAGATCTTCTAAATCATTTCATTTTGAGTAAGGTTTAGAAGAAATAAACAAGAATTATTATTGTACATGCATAATACAAAGGGTATTTTCAGTAGTTTAATATGATCGAACTAGAATCGAGGACAACGAAATGAAACCCTTCTTGGATGTCTAAGAGACATGAAGAGTGTACTTATGAAAATAAATTTAACTGATCATTGAATTACATTTTTGATAGAATCAGTCTGTAATATTGTAAAGGGCTCAATTTAAGAATAATGCATCAATTACTTGATTATCTCAAACTGAATATTAATTTTTAAATTTTAAAATCATTATAGGAAAATTAATGACCTAGGGAAAATTGTCTATGGAAGTGTTTGCTTATAAATTCAAAACATTGTGTCAAAGATTATATTATACATGTAATATCTCTTATTAAGCAGATAATTGTAATTAATTACGTGTATTTAAATCTGAAGAGTAAACGACAACCTTGCCCCTGGTTAGACGACTGGTTCGTCAGTTTGAGGTTGCATCATTTGTTAAAATTATATTTCGTTTGTATACACTTAAATCAATTATTTGACTGCCGTCATGAGAAAAGGGTCCTTATCTTTTGACGTCACAATGCTCAGAAAACGACGTCAAAGTCGCGTTATTGTAAACACGGAAGTAATTTTTGTCGATTGCGTTTTGTGAACAAAAAATAAAATTGGATTTCCAGGTGTTACAAGAAAAACATTAAATCATATGAAATTTGATGCGGACATTTTTAATAAATAATATAATTACACACTAGTGAATGCATTTATTAATTATTCTGTTTAGGTATTTAATTGATATTGATCACATAATTACGCTAAGTGCAACATTGAACTCATTGTTAATTACGACGATTTATAGCGATGTGTATATATGATGCATGGCTTAAGTTTTCTGAGCAATTTGCAAATGCTTAAATTTGACTCATATTAAGTCTTAATATTAAATGGTATTCTGCATACATGTATATTTTTTTTTAGAGAGAGAGGGAGAGCAATGCACGTAAATGTATACACTTCTTAATTAATTCTAAAAAAAACACCTAATGTAAAATGTACTTAGCCATTTTAATTGATCCACAGTTAATAATATCGATATGCGCAGTTAGACCAGCTCACCAGCTTAGGGTGAAGCGTCGATATCCAAATGTGTTTGAGAAGGAGGAGAAGGGGT